GAGGTTTCTTGTGGCCGAGCCCCCACTGTCCCCGCCAGAGGGGCGCTCTGCCGCCGCCGCCCATGGCTCCCGCGGCGCCTGGCCCGCTGCCGAGGGAGGCGTACACCCGCACGGCCCGCCCGCGGGGCGACGAACGCACAGCCACCGGCGGCGCCTCCCCATGGGGGTCGGGGGGTTGGGGCTCCATCGGGATCCCGCAAAGGGTGTGTGTGTGCCCCGGTGTGTGTGTGTGTGTGTGTGTGTGTGAGTGTGTGTGTGTGTGTGTGCGTGTGTTTGTGTGTGTGTGTGTGTGTGTGTGTGCGTGTGAGTTCGATTGGCTCTCGCACCGAGCCGCCCAGAGCAGATGCCTCCCCGCCGCCGGCAGCTCCCGACGGCTGCCGACGGGCGGGGCGTGCGGGGGGCACCTGTTCGCGGCAGCTCGGTGCACTCACGGAGCGAGCTCGTGGCCCCCCCCTCAGGGTCCCCACCCCCTTGTAGTGGATCTCTGAAGAGACGGGGGTCAGTGCAAAGCAAGGGTCAGTCAGAGCGCCGGATCTTGCAGGGTCCTGCAGGACACGGGGTGCACTGACCCCGGTTTGGGTGCAGGATCCTGCAGGATCCTGCGCCCGCACATCGACCGGCGGCGCGCCCCAGGGGGGGGGGGAAGCCGCGTGGTCTTGAGTCGGGCATGTCCCTCTACAGGAAGAATATTCAAGAATAGTTTGCATCATGGTCTGGGGGCGATTTTTCTATCATTTTTAGCTATTTTGAGTTTTGTTTCGCCTATAGATAAATATATGTATGTTCCTTAAACTCCGCCTACAGGAGGACATGCACGACCTAAACATCCACCGGCGGCGCGCCCCCTGGGGGGGGGGGCTGCGTGGTCCTTCGTTGGAGCCCCGGAGGGGTCCCAGATCTCCTCGCGTTGTTCTAGGCCTCCTAGTTGAGATCGGAGTAGATGGGGTCAGAGGAGCGCGCCGCATCGCCGATGCATCGGCGATGCGGCTCGATGTGGGGCCCGATTTGCTCCACGCTGGCGTCGCCGATGCATCGCCCACGTCGACGATGCATCGCCGATGGCGATGCGGTCTTTCGTCGGGCATGTCCCTCCACAGGAGGAGTACTCGAGAGTAGTTCAAACAGTCAGGGGACGATTTTTCGATTATTTGTTGGCCTATTTTTGAATATTTGTTGATTTCTCGTTCTTCCAAAATCCGCCTGTAGGAGGACATGCCCAACCTAAATATCCACCGGCGGCGCGCCCCTCGGGGGGGGGAAGCTGCGTGGTCCTTCGTGGAAGCCGTGGAGGGGTCCCAGACCTCCTCGCGCCCAGAGGGGGGAAGTGCGAAGGAGAAGGCCTTCTCAGAAGGCGGCGGGACTTCTCAGAAGCCCTCCGGCCTTCTGAGAGGTTTTCGGTGTCTTCGGGGAAGGCTTCGAAAACTTCTCAGAAGGCTGGGGGACTTCCGAGCCTTCTGAGAAGGCCCGCCCCTCCTCATTTCCCTCCTTCGCTCACTGCCGATCCAGGGCGCCTCTCGCGAGGCCCAGAAGGCCCCGGGAGTCCAAAGCGGCGCGAGGAAATTTTGAGGCACTTTGTCACCTCTTGCGACCTCCGCATGGACTTCCTGCGCACCTTGGAGTAATGCTTCCATACCCTCTTGCATGCACATCGTCTGCCGTCAGTTTGGCTCAGAAGAGTCCCGCAGGGGACGAAACGTCAGCCCGATACCCGAGAAAACACTGCATCGACGTGCCCCTGATCGTCTGGTCTGAGTGTCTCAACCTCATCGGGGTTCCCAGACCTCCGACGTAATGTTTTTTCCGCAATGTCGAACCCCAGAGGTCTCGACCCATGCCCTGGGACCTGTTGGCCATGCCGAGTCGCTCTCTGACGCTTCCGGATCCGGCGAGGGCCCCCGGAGGCCGAAGACGGCGAGAAACCTTCCGAGGCCACTTCTTCATGGCGCGGGCGGGCCTTCTGGGCCTCCTAGATGGGGTCCGAGTAGATGGGGTCGGAGGATCGCGCCGCATCGGCGAAACATCGCCGATGCGGCTCGATGTGGGGCCCGATTTGATTCACGTCGACGTCGCCACTGCATCGCCCACGTCGACGAAGCATCGCCGGTGCATCGGCGACGCGTTGCGGTATTTCGATCCCATCTACTCCGACCCCATCTTGGAGGCCTCTAGGTCTGGGTACGATTTTTTTTTGTTTCGCCCGCGAGGCCGAGCTGCACGGCGTGGAGATCTCGGGCGAGTTCGCGCAGCAGGCGGCGCGCATGCCGCCGCTGTCAGCTGCGTCGTCGTCGTCGTCGTCGTCGTCGTCGGCGGCGGCAGCGGCGGCGTCGGCGTCGGCGTCGGCGTCGGCGTCGGCGTCGGCGTCGGCGTCGGCGTCGGCGTCGGCGTCGGCGGCGGCGGCGGCGGCGGCGGCGTCGTCGTCGTCGTCGTCGTCGTCGTCGTCGTCGTTGTCGTCGTCAGCAGGCGGCGCGCATGCCGCCGCTGGTGCGGCGGCTCCTGGTGGACGGGGCTGCGCCCTCGGGGGTGAGCGCGGAGGCCCTGCTGGACGAGCTGCGCCTCTCGGAGGACTTCGGGGAGCACCAAGCAGCCTCGAGTCGTCGTCGTCGTCGTCGGCTGCGTCGTCGGCTGCGTCGTCAGCTGTGTCGTCGTCGTCGTCGTCGTCGTCGTCGTCGTCGTCGTCATCGTCGTCGTCGTCGTCGGCGTCGGCGTCGGCGTCGGCGTCGGCGTCGGCGTCGGCGTCGGCGGCGTCGGCGTCGGCGTCGGCGTCGGCGTCGTCGTCGTCGTCGTCGTCGTCGTCGGCTGCGTTCTCGTCGTCGTGGTCGTCGTCGTCGTCGTCGTCGTCGTCGTCGTCGTCGTCGTCGTCATGCTGGTCGGACGGCCCCATCGCCGTGCCGCTGTTGAAGAAGCGCCGGGCTTCTTCGGGGGCCTCTTCTGGGGCCTCTTCTGGAGCCTCTTCGGGGCCTCTGCTGGGGACTTTTGGGGCCTCATCGGCGACCTCCGACGACATTTTTGTTTCTTCTGTTTTGAAATCCGCTCTTTGGGACAGTCACGAGGCGCTCCAAGGGCGAAGCGCTGCCCCCGTGGGGCGGGGTCGGGACCTCTCGGCTCGGTGGCAGCTCGGGGGTCCTCGAGAGGCCCCGAAGAGGCCCCGAAGAGGCCCCCAAAGAGGCCCTCCAGGCGGCCCCCACGAGTGCGGCCTCCGAGAGGCCTCCCACGAGATCCCCACGAACATTCAATAGGCTTCGCGCCCACAACCCAGGCACGGTGGCGGGATGGGCCGAAGGCCACTAGACTTGGCCCGGCACAGAAACGGAAAGAGCGCTGCAACAACAGAAACCGAAATGACTCACATTCGTACTGGGAGCTTGGGCGTTGAGAGCTTGTGACGTGAACCCTCGCTCTTGGGAGCCTCAGTGTTCAGAGATTGTTGCGTTGCCGTCCGTTCCTGAGCCTTGGCTGGGCCTTGGTGTCAGGAGCTTGTTACGTCACCGCTCCCTGCTGGGAGCCTTGGTCTTATCAGCTTGTTTACGTCACTGTTCGCTCTGGAGAGGATTGGTGTGAAGAGCTTTTTGCGTTACCAATCGCTGTTTATTTAGCGTCTCTGGGACTTCGTGGGAGTCCTATTGGGGCCCTTTTGGGCTCTATTGGAGGCCTCTTGGGAACCTCTTGGGGGCCTCTTGGGGCTTCTTGGGGGGCTCTTGGGGCCTCCTTGGAGCTTTTTGGGGCGAAAGGCTAGACTTTTCGGTTCGTGGTCCCCCTCTTGGGGTCGTCTTGGGGCCCTCTTGGGCCGTCTTGGGCGCCTCTTGGGCCGTCTTGGCGCTCTCTAGGGCCGTTTTGGGGCCCTCTTGGGGAGCCTCTGGGGCCGTCTTGGGGCGGTCTTTGGGGCTTCTTGGACCGTCTTCAACGCCGTGAAAGCGAAAAGCCGTGTATGCTAAAAATGCACCTTCCCCCATCGGAAATCAATGATTTTGGCCTCCTGGTGGCATCGTGGGACGCCTCTTGGGGGCTTCTTGGGGCTTCTTGGGGCTTCTTGGGGCCTCCTGGAAGCGTCTTGGGGCGAAAGGCTAGACTTTTCGGTTCGTGGTCCCCCTCTTGGGGCCCTCTGGGGCCGTCTTGGGCGCCTCTGGGGCCGTCCGGGGGCCCTCTTGGACCGTTTCGGGGGCCTCTTGGGAACCTCTTGGGCCGTCTTGGGTCGGTCTTGGGGGCCTCTTGGGCCGTCGTCGACGCTGTGAAAGCCGAAAAGCCGTATATGCTAAACATGCAGATTTCCCCAAGGAGAATCAATGATTTGGCCTCTTGGGGCCCTCTTGGGGCGCCTCCTGGGGGCCTCTTGGTGGCCTCGTGGGGGCCTCTTGGGCCGTCTTGGGCGGTCTTGGGCTTTCTTGGAGCGCTCTTGGGCCGTCTTGGGGGGGAACCTGAAAAACATGTAAAAACCAGAGGGTAAACCTGAGGGAAAACCCGAAAGCGACCATTGCCAACCCTGCACCCCCGCCTCGCCCCTCCCCTGGACCCCTCCCTTAAGGGCTTCGCCCCAACACAACGTCATCACTCGTGCCTCGCTCTTTCCGTTACCTGGGCTGGCACGGGAACTGAAAGAGCGCTTCAGACCTCGTCGCCCTAGGTCGGAGGTCAGAGTGAGGGACCCCGGAGGCCGAAAACAGCGGGAAACCTCCCGTCCCGCTTTCTTCACTACAGTAGGTTCACGCGGCGTTGGCGCGCCAGCGCCGCCGGCGAATATGTTCAAGGTTGGATTCTGCGAAGCGGAATTTGCCGATGGAGACGGTAACGCCATTGGACCCGACTGGATGCACCCTTGAACGATCGGGGCCGCGGTCGATTCAAGGTTGAACGATCAACACGATGTCAAAAGCCTTTGCGCGATCCGACGCCGCACGACCGTCGTCGTACTCGTCGTCGGCGTCGTCATCGTCGTCGGCGTCGTCGGCGTCGTCGTCGTCGTCCTCGTGGTACTCGTCGTGGTACTCGTCGTGGTACTCGTCGTCGTCGTCGTCGTCGTCGTCGTCGTCGTCGCCCCCCGACAGGACGCCCTGCGGAGCGCCCGGGCCGGGCTCTGCTGCACGGCCGGGGAGGCGCTGCTGCGGCGCCCCGGCGCGCTGTGCGCGGAGGCCTGCGCCACGCTGCGCGGCCTCGTCGACGCGGAGAGGCAGACCAAGTGCGGGGCGGGCTAAGATCTCGGCGTCCAGCGGTGGGGGGAACCTCGTGGCTCGATTTCTGGAAGGTTGAGGTACGAGGCGGTTCTTCGCCGTCTTCGGCCCCTGGGGGCCGCTCTCGGGCCCCGGGACCCCGGAACTTGGACCTGGGGTGAGAAGCCGCGTCGGATGGACCCCGAGAGGGGTCCGAGGACCGATTTTGGACGATCTTCGGCGGCGCGCCCAGGGCGGGACGTGCGAAGGATGAGGCCTTCTCAGAAGGCGGCGGGACTTCTCAGAAGCCCTCGCGCCCTCTGAGACGTTTTCCGTCTCTTCGGGGCCCCTTCCTCCTCCTGCTCCCTTTTCCTCCTCCTCATCCCCCTCACCCTCCTAGCTTTGAGGCGGGCCTGTCCCACTACAGGAGGTATTCAAGTGGCCTTCGGCCAGTGCCGCCGATCCAGGTCGCTCGGGGCTACCCCCCAGACGCAGACATTACGGGCGCACGCTCAAACACACAAACACACACACACACACCACACGCCACACGCGCACACTATTTTGTCGCTGCCTTTGGCCAGTTACTGGCCGCGCCATTCCGCACTCGCTCGCGCGCGCGCCACCACGATCACTTTCCACAACATTGCCATTATCGTTTCTGCTCACCCCCGCGACTGTTTATTTGTCTCTCGCGCGAACACGCCGCACCGGGCACTCGCGCGCGAGCACCGTGCGCACGCGCGCACACACGCACGCACGCCCCCACATGAACACAAATACACGACACATACATGGACACACACCACCACGATACTCACGTACTCACCCATGTACACATGAACACCAGCACACCAGGTCTTTCTGTAAAAGCAGGAAAGCAAGTACTCCTGAAACGCATGTACAGAGGGTCTTTCTGTAAAAGCTGCAAATTCCACGCGCGACCCGTTGAACGCACCTACAGAGGGTCCTCCTGCAAAAGCAGCACAGCCGCCACCCCTTGGGCGAATCTACAGAGCGTCCTTATGCAAAAGCACCAAATCCGCCGCCCCTTGAGCGCATCTACAGAGGGTCCTTCTGTAAAAGCTGCAAAGCCCGCGCGCCACCCCTTGAGCGCATCTACAGAGGGTCCTTCTGTAAAAACACCCCCAGAAACCGCTGGGCCCCCTCCTCCCCCCCTCCCCAGCAAACCAAGCGTTCTGAAGCGATTCCTAAGGAAATCCAATGGTTTTTAAAGCAAGCCCACGCCACAGGACCCCCCCCCCCCACGCCACCAGAACCCACGCCACCGGAACCCTCCCCCCCTCCCCCCCGCCTCCCCGGCAAACCAAGCGTTCTGAGGCGGTTTCTAAGGAAACTCAATGGTTTTTTAAGCAAGCCCACGCCACCGGACCCCCCCCCTGCCACCAGAACCCACGCCACCAGAACCCCTCCCCCCCCCACGCCACCATGAACCCAGGAACCCCCTCCTCCCCCTCCTTCCCCCTCCCCGGCAAAGCCACCACGGTCACTCCCACCCCCTTACACTCACACGCCGGATCGGCGGATTAAAAAAAATAGGAAAAAATAGTCAGGGGACAATTTTTTCGCCCATTTTTGATTGTTTGGGTGTATTTTTTCGGTATTTTTTATTTTTCGTCCAGAATCCCCCTGTCGGGGGACACGCCCGACCTAATCGAAGCTCAAAATCGGCCACTCGCAGAGGGGGGGCACCAAGACCTCCTCGCGCAGTGCAAAATTGAGGCAGCTTTCGGCTTCTAGGGGCCTGTGCCAGGCCCCGGGGGCTGTCAACAAAGCAGGCCCGACGAAAACACAGTTCCAGGGAAGGGGTCCAGACCTCTGGGGGGCCCCGCTGGGAAATCTTTCAACGCGGAGATCCCCGCACGTGCATGTTGGTTCCCGGCGCTCCCGTCCGGGAGTGTCTCAGTCGGAGAATCTTAGCCTGTGGCCTTTTATGTGCTCCCTGGCGGCCAGCTCTCGGAGTGTCCAAATGCGCAGGAGCGTGGGGCTCTGAAAAAGAAAGGAGCCTCGTCACCCGGCAAGCAAGTCGCACGACGTATCCCCACAATCTGGGCGCGAACGGGCAAACGTCCCCATTCCTGGCGGCTCCGCTTGCAGGTGCTCGAAAGCCATGCCTGCTGCATCGCGATGAGCATGGAGCTCTGAAAAGGGAGATGTCTGATCAACCGAACAGGCAAGCGGCCTGAGACGCCCCCTCCACTTGGGCGCGAACGGGCAAGTGTCCCCATCCTTAAGTCGGGCCTGTCCCCCTACAGGGGGATTGTAGACGAAAAATTTAAAATATCCCAGCAAAAATCCAAAAATAGTGCCAAAATTGTCTGGGGATTATTTTTTGAGTATTTTTCGGCCTTTTTGGGGCATTAGTATTATTATTATTATTATTATTATTATTATTATTATTATTATTCTTATTAATTTATTAATATATTAATATATTATTATATTAATATATTAATATATATATATATATATATGTATATCGGAAATCCCCCTGTAGGGGGACAGGCCCGACCTAAACCTATCCCTGGCGGCTCCTCTCTGGGGTGCTCGAGTGCCACGCCTGCGACATCGCGGTGAGCACGGGGCTCGAAAAAGAGAGAGACGTCTGATCGAGCAAACCGGCAAGCCGCGAGAGACATCCCCACCATCTGGGCGCGAACGGGCAGGTGTCCCCACACCTGGCGGCTCTCGGGAGTGGACAGAACCCCCAACAGTGACACGTCGATGAGTGAATTGTCCGTTTTCGGTTCTCGAGATGGCGCCGTGGCCGTTATTTTCCAGGCATGCGCCCGCCAGGTTTGGGCCTCAGGTCGTTTTCACTAAACGACGTTTTGCTAAAGGGGGGTCTGTCCATCCCCGAGGCTCCTCGTTGGGGTGTTCGAGTGCCACGCCTGCCTCGTCGCGATGAGCATAGGACTCTGAGAAGGGAGGAAGCCGATCAACCGAGCAGGCAGACCGACTCAGGGATCCTCATCATCTGGGCGCGAACTGGAACATGCCCCTACCACTGACGGCTCCTCCTTGAGGTGCTCAAGTGCCACGCCAGCTGGATCGCGATGAGCATGGGGCTCTGAAAAGAGAGACGTATGATCAAACAAACAGGCAAGCCGCAAGAGACACTCTGACAATCTGGGCGCGAACAGCCATATGTCCCCACCCCTGGTTGCTCCTCCTGTGGGTGCTCAAGTGCCACGCCTGCTGCATCGCGATGAGCATGGGGCTCTGGAAACAAAGAAGGCCACTCAACTGAACAGGCAAACCGCCTGAGACATCCCTACCATCTGGGCGCGAACGGGCAAGTGTCCCCACACCTGGCGGCTCCTCGTTGGGGTGTTCGAATGCCACGCCTGCCACATCGCGATGAGCACGTCGCCGAGTGTGGTTATATGTGTCAGTGGGTCTGAGTGTCAGTGAGTATGATTAGTCTGAGTGTGAGTGTATCCGAGTGCCTGTGAGTCTGAGTATGAGTGATCTTAGTGTGACTGGGAGAGAGAGAGAGAGAGAGAGAGAGAGAAAGAGAAAGGAAGCGTGAGTGAGTGAGGGGGAGGAGGAGGAGGTGGAGGAGGAGGAGACGGAGCAGGCGCCCCCGTATCGACGAGAGCCTCGTATTCAGGATGCATGGAAGCACGAACACGACGTCGGATGTCTGGTGGTGGTGGTGGTGGGGGAGGGGGGTCGAGCGACAGATCGCGCTGGAGGGGGTCGGTTCTGAGGAGGAGGAGGAGGAGGAGGAGGAGGAGGAAGAGGAGGAGGAGGAGGAGGAGGATCTGGTAGTGGGCGGCCAAGAGGGGTGTGGTGTGATGCCTCGGGTGGAATCGGGCATGTCCCTCTACGGGGGGACACTTCACAAACAGAGTCCACAAATAAGATGGGAACGAATTCCCGATGATGTTCTCACTATTTCCCAACCATCCTGTGGTGTTGGGTCCTCGTTTTGAAGACACGGTGCCCCGCGTCTCCTTCCTCCTCCTCTCCTCCTCCGCCTCCTCTCCCCTCCTATCATCCTCATCGTCATCATCATCATCATCGTCATCATCATCATCATCATCATCATCATCATCATCATCATCATCATCATCATCATCATCATCATCATCATCATCATTATCATCATCATTATCATCATCATCGTCATCAGCATCAACATCATGGGCGCCACCATAACCATCATCGTCATCATCACCATCATCGTCGTCATCACCATCATCGTTGTCCTCGTCGCCATCATCGCACGTTTCGTGGCCCCATACGGAGCTCCACCGAAGCTCCCAGTGGGTGTGCCCGCATGCGTCCCGCACGCCCATTTTGGCACACCCCTCACACGTTTCGTGGCCCCATAGGGAGCTCCATTTACGGTCCAAGTGGCGCAGCTCGCATGGCGCCACCGCCCCATTTTGGCACACCCCTCACACGTTTCGTGGCCCCTCAGGGAGCTCCACCTGAGGTCCAAGTGGCGCAGCTCGCATGGCGCCACCGCCCCATTTTGGCACACCCCTCACAGATTTCGTGGCCCCTCAGGGAGCTCCTTTTGGCACACCCCTCACACGTTTCGTGGCCCCATAGGGAGCTCCACCTAAGGTCCACGTGGCGCAGCTCGCATGGCGCCACCGTCCCTTTTTGGCACACCCCTCACACGTTTCGTGGCCCCATAGGGAGCTCCATTTACGGTCCAAGTGGCGCAGCTCGCATGGCGCCACCGCCCCATTTTGGCACACCCCTCACAGTTTCGTGGCCCCTCAGGGAGCTCCACCTGAGGTCCAAGTGGCGCAGCTCGCATGGCGCCACCGCCCCTTTTTGGCACACCCCTCACACGTTTCGTGGCCCCTCAGGGAGCTGCACCTAAGGTCCCAGTGGTGCAGTTCGCATGGCACCCCTTCACACGTTTCGTGGCCCCACAGGGAGCTCCATCTCAGGTCCAAGTGGCGCACCCCACATGGCGCCGCAGACCCACTTTGGCACACCCCTCACACGTTTCGTGGTCCCATAGGGAGGGAGGAGGAGGAGGAGGAGGAGGAGGAGGAGGAGGAGGAGGAGGAGGAGGAGGGAGGAGGAGGAGGAGGAGGAGGAGGAGGAGGAGGAGGAGGAGGAGGAGGAGGAGGAGGAAGGAGGAGGAGGAGGAGGAGGAGGAGGAGGAGGAGGAGGGAGGAGGAGGAGGAGGAGGAGGAGGAGGAGGAGGAGGAGGAGGAGGAGGAGGAGGAGGAGGAGGAGGAGGAGGAGGAAGGAGGAGGAGGAGGAGGAGGCGGAGGAGGAGGGCGAGGAGGAGGAAGAGGAGGAGGAGGAGGAGGAGCAGGAGGAGGAGGAAGAAGGACCGCCCTGGCCGCTGTCGCCGCCGCCGATGCCGCCGTCGCCGCCGTCGGCGCCGCCGTCGGCGTCATGCTCGCGGCCCCACAGGCGAACGGGAGAGAGGGTCCCCTCCCCCTCCTCCTCCTTTCCCTCCTCCTCGCTTCCTTCTCTTTGTTGCCCGCGCGCATCATCATTGTCCATGCTTGTTGAGTCCACTTAGCTGTGAAGCCATCCATTGCAAAGAATCCGAACCATCGCGGCGTGTGGCCTGGCCCCGACCGGTGTCTAGGATTCTTCAGCGACGGGTGTCTCATGGCCTCTCCAACCGTACGAACGGATTCATAAAGCCATGGACATAGACGTTCGTCGTCGTCGTCGCTGGGACCCCTCCGCGGCGACCTGCGCGCGTCGCGGGGACTCCGCGCTGCTCTGCGCCCGCAGCTTTGGATTTTTGGAGCGCGCAGGCAAAGAGGGGGGAAAAGAAGGGGCGGAAGCGGGTGCGATCCCCGTGAGGGGCGTGCCGACATGGGCGTCGCGGCGCGCGGGCGCTGCCGTCGGGGTTCCCGCGGAAGCTGCCTGCGGCGGCCACGCCCAGTGTCACGAGTGTTCGGACAGGCATGCTCGAGCCATTCACGTTCATATACATTTACACTAGGCGTAGCCGAGATCGCATTCATGCAAATATACTCACTCCCGCGCATACCCATTCACATTCAGACTCTCTCGCGCTCTGGCTCACCCGCGTTCATTCTTTCGTAATCTGACCTATCGTATTTCTTTGCGTCGTGTACCCCGCCATATTTCGGCATGCCCCTCGTGCGGTTCGTGGCCCCATACGGAGCGCCACCGAAGAAGGTGCTCACAATTGCGGCACTCACAACTGCGTATGGTTGGGTCTTTCGCCAGGATAATTTTGAATACTTTTTCCCTACCTAGGCTCTGCCTAGAAGGGTTCTGACTCGCTTGGCTTAAGGGGCCGGGCGGTGCAAACCGCCCCGGGCGGTTCCCCCGGTCCCCTGGGAGCCAAGCAAAAACAACAGCAAAGGTAAAAACAAACGCGCGGTTCCCCCAGTTGCGCTCCCTGGGTGCGAAGCAAAAACACAGGCAAAGGCAAAAGTGAAGGCAACAGCGAAGGCAAAGCAAACACCTAGCATAGCATAGTATAGCGCAGCATAGCATAGCGCATCATAGCATAACATAGCATAGCATGGATGTATATGTATAGGCAGATGTAAAGAACTCCCCAGTGCCCCGCCCTCATCTCCGTGCCTGCTTGGTTTTGCTACTGTCTCGGCGACTTGCTGCCTGCTTCTGCTCCTGCTTCACTTACGGCGTGGCGTCGGCGGTTCTAGCGCTACTACTACTACTACTACTACTACTACTACTACTACTACTACTACTACTACTACTACTACTACTACTACTACTACTACTACTACTACTACTACTACTACTACTACTACTACTACTACTACTACTACTACTACTACTACTACTACTACTACTACACTACTACGACTACTACTACTACTACTACTACTACTACTACTACTACTACTACTACTACTACTACTACTACTACTACTACTACTACTACTACTACTACTACTACTACTACTACTACTACTACTACTACTACTACTACTACTACTACTACTACTACTACTACTACTACTACTACTACTACTACTACTACTACTACTACTACTACTACTACTACTACTACTACTACGCTACTGCTACAACTACGATGATGAGGAGAAGGAGGAGGACGGCGTTTACCGCTCCTATCAATGTTGCATTCCTAGAGGCTCCAACTCCTAGCGCTGGGAGAATTCTGACTGTTTTCTATGATTCGTGCATAGTCCGCATGCAGGAGGACATGCCCGACCCAAGCCTAGGAGAAGGTGGATATCATGGCCTGGGCCATTGTATCTCTCCCCAGACTTCATGCGCACCTCTTTTTTCCTTGAACTCATCCCTGGCCGCCCACTCGTCCGCGCACATGCCTCGGGTCACTATTTGCGACCCCCCCTCTTGGACGCCCCCCTCTTGGACGCCCCCGATTTTTCGGTAGCAAATCATGGGAGCCTTATCTACCCCTTTAATTCCGTCTTTAGCTTTAGACTGGCGTCGATTCGCGTCTGGGAGTCGACGAGACAACGCCGATTTAGCGTCAGTTAGCGTCGACCAGCGTTGATCTGGCGTCGATGAGCGTCGATTCGCGAGAGCTGGCAAGATGGTGCGGGATGCTCCCATGCCCTGCCACCGAACGATCTGGGAACAGACGGAGGGGGGTGTGCGGCAGCTGCTGCGGCAAGCCTCGGCCCCGCCGCCTGGCAGCCGCCTCTCCACGCGCGGCGGCTCCGGGCGCCTGGATTTGGGCTGGGGAGCGCCGGCCGCAGCAGCTGCCGGCCTCCTGTGAGAGTGGCCCTTCGCCAGAGCGGCCTCTGGTTCAGGAGGGGAGAGAAATTCATCGTCGGCTCCCAGGAAAATATGGGAAAATATGGGAAGTGGGGGGGAAGACGAAGACCCAGAAAATATGGGCCAATATGGGGAATCCTGGGAGTTGAGTCCATTTATTTGGGTGTCCCTGGGCCCCTTTACTGGTCCGCGGCGTTCGGGGTGTGCTCGTGCCAGACCCAGCATGCAGGTCGGTTTTGCCACGTCCATGTGGCGATCGGCCTGCTGCGCACCAGAGGTCACTCTTGCCCAGGGTCACCTGTGCGTGCATCTGGAGCTGGTTCGCGGACCTCTCCCTCTGCCACCCCCCCTCGCTGGGACGGGCCTGTCATCCCGAGCTGTTTTCTGGCGGTCCTGGGGCGTGGCGAGGGCCCCCGGGGGCAAAAAACAGCAGAGGCCGTCCGGCGCGTCATTTTGGTTCACGAGGCCAGGTGCTCTGGGTCCCCTCTCTCGTCCACGGAACATCACTCGGGTTGAAGAGTCATGCCGTCGGAGCTCTGGGTCCTCGTCCGCCCCGCCAGGTGCGACACCGTGGACGGGGCGCCCGACCACCAGCTGAACCTGAGCAAGCAGCAGCTGGAGGCGCACGTCGGCGCGGCCGCGCTGGCGGGCCTGTGGGGGCTGGCGGAGGATCGGAGGCAGTGTGAGGGGGGGGGGTCTGGCTCAGGGGGGGGCGCATGTCGGGTATGGCCAGGACCCTGGGTACGGTAGGTTTGCGTCGTGTCGACCAGCGGCGACCCCAGCGCGGGCGTTCAAGGTTGAACGCCGCCGGCGACCCAGAATCGATCGATGTTGAACGATCGGACGTTGCGGCAGCGGCCGATCGTTCAAGGTTGAACGATCCCTGCGGTGTCAAAAACCAACGCTGGCGTCGGCACGACACGAACCTGCCTAAGAGGACCCAGTTAGTGGTAGGGCCCTGGAGCCTTGGAGTTGGCCAGGTTCACTGAACCAGGTCTGCCGTAGCAGGTGTTTTTTTCGGGTGACGGCAGTTCCGGTTGGTGGAAGTGGGACGGGGGGGGCGCCCCCGGTACAGATCACTAAACCAGGTTCCACTAAACCCAGTCCTACCAACACCCGAGCATGGACTCGGAATCGCCGATACATCGCCGATGGATCGGCGATGGGCCCCCGATGGCGAAGCCGCGCGCTCATGAGTGGGGTGGACTGTCAGGCCCCTCTTGGCGACGAGTAGGCGATTGGGTGTCGATGCATCTCCCCCTGCGCCCATCCCCCCTAACGTTGCCCCTGCGAGGAGTTCGGAGGCCCTGGGAGGACGGACGGCATGGAGGTGGGCCTGTTCGTAAGGCTGGAAGTAGACCCTGAGATCCTGGCTCGCATTTTTTCGCCCAAAGGCGATTTTGCTTGGAGTCGGGCCCCAGTGCTATCACATATCGATCCAGCTCGAAAAAGGCGGCAGAAGAAATAGGTCCAGGGTTCAGCCGTGATTTTTCGCGATGTTGTAATTTTTCGTGATGTCGGATCTCAGGGAAGAAGAAACAACTGCATAAACATAAGCTTTCGGAAGTCCGCGCGGACTTCTCGGAGCGGCGCTGGGCTCCCTTCCTTGGCGCGCGGTGCGCGTCAGTGGAGGTGCCGGAGGCGCCGTTTGGGGGCGGGGTCCAGCGCCGACCTAAGAAACCTGCGCGGGCCTCCGAAAGCTTACGTCTATGCAGTTTTTTCTTCCTCCAGAGGCGCTACACAGCCGACTCGAGGCCCTGGAACCCATTCCACGTCGACTCGGCGGAGCTCACGGTCAACGTCGCTCTCGTGGGCGACGACCAATTCACCGGGGGCGCTCTGCTGGCGTGCTACGACGGCGCGGTGCGCGAGGTCTGGGAAAACGAAAAGGCACCGATACCCAACTCCACGGACCTCTCCTGGGGTTCATTCTGGCAGGAACTCTAGACGCTTTGCGCAACCCCACCAGCCCATCCAGAAACAATACCCAGGCGAGTTGCGCTGATCAGGGATGTGGATGAGCATGCAGTGGGATAAAAGGTTGGGGAAGCCGTCATCTCCCAAGCGGGGGAGGGTGGAAGGAGGAGGAGGATGCGGAGGAGGAGGAACAGGATGAGGATGAGGAGGAAGAGTCATACATATACTACTCATATTAGTAGTAATACCAAGACTCATAATATTGTCGATCATAATAGCATTATAGTCATACTAATAATAATTATAATGCGTTCAACATGATAACCTATATCAATAATAATAAATATAATGCGGAGGCGACGAGGAACGAGCACACTACTAATACTAATATTACCAGTGCTCAGAATAGTTCTAAGAATGCAAATGCCAATACGGCGAGCACTATTCTCACTAATAAGATGAAACCGTCATACAAGTAGTAAAGGCATTCCTACTACTACTACGAACAGACACTGTTATTAACACTAATCATACGAACATGAGTTGTACTAATGCGTATATTACGAAGACGGCTACTACTAACAATATTCATATACGACTGAGGATGATATTGCGAATCATAATGTTAATAAACCACTTCCTACTATTACTACTGCTACTACTACTACTACGATTACTACTACTACTACTACTACTACTACTACTACTACTACGACGACTACTACTACTACTACAACTACCACTACCACTACTACTACTACTACTACTACTACTACTACTACTACTACTACTACTACTACTACGACTACGACTACGACTACGACTACGACTACGACTACGACTACGACTACGACTACGACTACGACTACACGACTACGACTACGTATAGTAGTAGTAGTAGTAGTAGTAGTAGTAGTTAGTAGTAGAGTAGTACTACGATTACTACTACTTACTTACTACTACTACTACTACTACTACTATTACTACTACTACTACTACTACTACTACTACTACTACTACTACTACTACTACTACTACTACGATTACTACTACTACTACTACTACTACTACTACTACTACTACTACTACTACTTATATTCTAGTGAGAATAATAATGCTAATCACAATACTACTAAGAAGTGGCAATACTGGCAGTACTGCTAATATGCTATAATGCTACTCATAATGGTAATACTGGTAATACTAATGCGACTCATAATACTAATCATACTAATGCTAATGATAATGGTAGTACTACTCAGAAGAAAGGTAACCATACTCATATCAAGAAGAATAATGCTAAAACAACTAAAAGTAATATTACTAATAATGATATACGAATGAGAAACAGAGGAGTAGGAAGGCGAGCTGAACGACCAGATGCTTCTTGGATGTCTCACGGAGTCTCTGCGGATATCTCTTGAGAGTTTCTCGGGGTCCTCTTGGGGCATCTTGGGGGCCTTTTGGCGGTCCCGGGGGTCTCTTGGAGCGTCTTCGGTGCCTCGGGGGAGCCTCTTGGGGCTTCCTGGCAGTCTCTTGGGAACCTTTTGGGAACCTCTTGGGGGCTAAGGCCTCCTGGGCGCCTCTCTGGGCCCTAGTAGGGGCCCTCTTGGGACACTCTCGGGAGCCTTTGGGGCCATCTTGGGGCAATCTTGGAGGAGTTTGGTCAAAGAAGGGGGGGTACTAAATTGGTCCCCCACCAGGAGGCCAAAATGGGCCCCAAACCTAAGTCGGAGGTTGTGGCGTGAGATCGCGGTAAAGCGGGGAGCCCCCCACCGGGAAGTCGGTTTCGGTTTCGTTTTCGTCCCGTGCGTGCGGGTGAGGCGAAGCTGCGTGGACGGGCAAGAAGACTGAACCCGCCGTTGCTAATTAGGGTGAAACTGGGCTCAATGATTTCCCTCCCCCAGTTGGTCGGTGGTGGCTCAGTGGTGTCCCGCCGGTGTCCCGCAGGTGTCCCGTGGTGTCCCGTGGTGTCCCGTGGCGTCCCGTGGCGCGGTGTCCCATGGTGTCCCGTGGTGTCCCCTGAGATCGATTGAGTGAGATCGATACTGATATCGGTTGTAAGATCAATCGTGAGCTTGACAGTGATATCGATCGACTAATCGACAGTGGGTTCGATAGTGAGATCGATAGAAAGGTCGATGGTGAGATCGATTTTCCGTGAGATCGATGGATCGATGGATATCGATGTTGGGATCGATAGTGAGATCGATAGTGAGGTCGATAATTAGTGAAATGGATGGTGAGATCGACAGATATCTAGACAGTGAGATCGATGGCGCCATCGGTTTCTCAATGTATGTGTATAACGATAGTAGACGGAGATCGTCAGTTGGATCGATCGTGTTTCTTAGTGGTGCACCCTGGTGTTTCGTGGTGCCCTGTGGCCGTGCGTTTTCTCAGTACGTACCACCTGGTGGTGTCGACAGTGAGATCGATAGTGGTGCCCAGTGGTGTCTCGTGGTGCCCCGTGGTCTTGCTTGTGCTCGTCGTGTTCTTCTGGAACGAGCGCGCGGGCAAATCCACGCCACGTGGTTGTGCTGGTATACCTGACGCTTTGGTGCCTTGTAGCGAGATCGGGCGGGTTATTGATAGCGCGATCGATAGGCGAGAGAGGCAGTGAGATCCATTGATAAGTCGGTGCGTAGATGGATAGTTTGATCATCTATAGATAAATCGATAGCGAGGCCGACAGTGAGATCCATGGTGAGATCCATGATGATATCGACAGTGGGGTCCAGAGCGAGGTCGAGGTCCTGTGGCGCCCCGTGGTGTCTCGTGGTGCCCTGTGGTATTGTATGCTCTTAGTGTGCTCGCCACCAGCATCTGGATTATCACCAGCGTCGCCGCCAAGCATCGCCATCATGAATCGTCGCCAACTCGTCGTAACCAGCATCGTCACCATCACAGCCACTGCAGTCGTCCTCAGTTGCCCCCCCATCCACCCCCTCCTTATCACCCGAAGGGCGGTCGCATGGGGCCATACTGGACGCTTCAATGGGTCGCACAACACCCTGTCAATGTCCAGGGGAGGGGGAAGGGGCAGGGGTAAGCCTGCTGAACCACTGACGCCCAGAGGGCTGGTCGGATTTCAAGGCGAATCCAGCCGTGGCGACGAGGGCTATCCAGGAAGAGCAGCGGTATCGGTACCCAGACATGCAATGTCTTAATTTTTGCAATGCGTGGTCCCCGGAAGTCCCGACTCTTTCCCCAGGGCCGGCTTTGCATTCCAAGTCGTTTTTTGACCGTCTTAAGGCCCAGCGAGGGCCCCAGGAGGCCGAAAATTGCCAAACACGTTTGCTGAAAGCTCTCTGCTGTTGATGCGGCGGGCAAGCACGTCTGGGTGCCCTTTCTCCTCCGAGAGGTGCCCCGAGCGGAGGGGGAGGCCACCGTGCACGCCTCGACGCTGCTGCACGGGGTGGGCATGCTGACGTCTGGCGTCCGGTACTCCCTGATACTGTTCTTCGGGCGGCCAGAGGAGCGGCGCCGCCCAAGCATGCTCATTCTGTAGGAGGAGGGGGAGAAGGGAGATGGGGGAGGAGGAGGAGGAGGAGGAGAAGAAGGAGGAGGAGGAGGAGGAGGAGGAGGAGGAGGAGGAGAGGAGCGGCACCGCCCAAAGATGCTCATTCTGTAGGTGCGTCGGCCACGCAGGGGGTGACGCGAACGCTCGGGAGTCTTGCCGTCGAAGGCTCCGTGGCGGCCGCGCTTTCTGGCCATGATGCTGATAATGCTGATGATGATGCTGATGGTGATACGGAGGGTGAAGATGATGATGCTGATGCTGATGATTATGATGATGATGATGATGATGCTGAGGCTGATGCTGCTGATGATGATGACGACGATGATGATGATGCTGATGCTGATGATGAGGATGATGATGATGATGATGATGCTGATGCTGATGCTGCTGATGATGATGACGACGATGATGATGCTGATGATGCCGATGACGATGCTGATGATGATGCTGCTGATGCTGATGATGATGATGCTGATGATGACGACAATGATGATGATGCTGATGATGCTGATGATGATGCTGACGATGCTGCTGCTGATGATTATGCTGATGATGATGCTGATGATTATGATGATGGCGATGCTGCTGCTGCTGATGATGATGATGCTGCTGATGCTGATGCTGATACAGATGCTGCTGCTGATGATGCTGATGCTGATGCTGATGCTGATGCTGATGCTGATGCTGATGCTGATGATGATGATGATGATGATGATGATGATGATGATGATGATGATGATGATGATGATGATGATGATGATGTGATGAGATGATGATGATGATGATGCTGATGATGATGATGATGATGATGATGATGATGATGATGATGATGATGATGATGATGATGATGATGATGATGATGATGATGATGATGATGATGATGATGATGATGATGATGATGATGCTGAGATGCTGATGATGATAAGGAGGAGGAGGAGGGGAGGAGAGGAGGAGGAGGAGGAGGAGGAGAGAGGAGGAGGAGGAGGAGGAGGAGGAGGAGGAGGAGGAGGGGCTCGAGGACGAGGAGGAGGAGGAGGAGGAGGAGGAGGCCTCTGGGTACTCCCTGATCCTGCGCTTCGGGCGACCGGAGGAGCCCGAAGCGCTGGGCCCCGCCGAGCGGGCCGCGGAGGCGGGCGCGCTCGGGCGGCTCGTGGCGGACGGGGCGCTCATGGCCAGGGCCCGCGGCGTGCTGGGGGACGCCCGCCTCCCCGGAAGGGGCGCGCCGGGAGAGAGCGGCCTCGGGCACGAGTTCCGGGGGCCCGCAGAGCAGGTTGCCCCCTCGCTCTCGGCCTGTGGGGGGCTCGTCCTCGGGCCCGATGGCCACCGTATACACGCGGAGGCGGGACACGCAGCACGGCCCGGGGCCTGCAGGGGTCGGGAGCCCGAAGGGGCGTGAAAACGACCACAGCCAGTGCTTTTCTTCTTTTGTTGTCGCCTTCCTGCCCGCAGAGAAAACGCAGTGGTTGTGGTCATTCTCGTTGAGCTTGGCACCAGGGAAATGACCACAACCACTGCTCCTTTTTCGGCCAGCTGGAAGGCGGCGCAAACAAGAAGCAGTGGCTGTGGTCATTTTCCAGTCCCGCAGGGACGCATCACGTCGGCAGATGTTATCGGGACGACCGACATGGGTATTTTTGGTCGCAGCCGCAGGCGGGAGCGCCAGCGGCGAGTCGGGTCCGAGCGGGCCGCGCAAGAGCCGAACTACCTAACGCCGACAGGCTGGCGACCGCAGCAGCGCCTCGGCGGGCGGGCCGGCGAGAAGGGGGACCGACATGGGTACGGAAAGAATGGATACAAAGACCGACAGCAGTTCTTGTTCATTTTGGACAGGATTCGCTGTTGGCGTCGCCGCGGATCGTGTCCATTCGGGGCAGGAGGTCGCCTGCCGAGCAGCGGCCGCTGCTGGTTCGGGACAACATTTGCTGTTGAACATTGTGCCCATTGTTTCCGTGCCCATTTCGGGCGTCCAAATGTTAGGGTCGCAGCGCGGATTCCTTCCTTCATGGCGCCAGCGTCGAAGAGCGGATGTCGCCCGGAAAACACCTGGGATGGGCCATGATTGTCCTGGAGAGTTTCGCTCCGGATTTCGAAGTGGATTTCGTGCGGTCCCTTGTTTGGCCAGGAATGAAGCCCACAACAAATCCACGTGAAACGCACCTCGTTTTTCGCGCCTTTTCGGGTTTTTCCTTGGCAAAAATCAATGCAAAAATCCGCTACTGCACGTCTGCAAGGTCGGTGCAGTGGTTTTTTGGGCTGGTACCACGGACCCCCTTCCCTGCCTCCCTCGGGGAGGGGGGGGTTCGGTGCCGTGCACCCATCCGGCCTTCTGAGACGGCGCCTCCTGCGCCGCCTTTGGCGAGCTCCGCTCTCTTCGGAAGGGCTGGCCGGAGGAATCCGAATAACACCAAACTGCACTGACACAATTTTTTCGTTGAGCTGCGCGCAGATTTCTGGGATTTGTGCTAGAGCCCCCTGGCGGCGCCTCCGAAGGCCGCCCCCTGGCGTGCTCCGCGCGCCAGGGAGGGGGTACAGCACGGATCCGAGATCTCCGCGCGGAGCGCCGAACAGTTGTGCTTATGCATCCTCTTGTCGGGCGAAGGGAACTATGCACATGCACCGATTCTGGCAAGGCCCATCCTTTACCCAGGATCGGTGCATATGCCTTCCCAGCCAAGGTAGAAGGGCGTGTGCACCGATCCTGGCTCAGGATGGGCCTGGCCAGAATCGGTGTATGTGCATAGTTCTCTTTCCTCTATTCTCAGGGGCGGACAGAAACCCAACAGTGACACATCGATTAGTGAATTGTTTGTTTTCGGTTCTCGATAGGGCGCCGTGGCCGTTATTTTCCAGGCTTGCGCCCGCCAGGTTTGGGCCTCAGGTCTTTTTCACTAAGCCACGTTTTACTAAAGGGGGGTCTGTCCATCCCCGATATTCTTGTTCTTCGATAAGTCCCTGCGGGCCTTCCGAAGTCTGTGCCCGTGCCGCTTTCGGCCCTTCCGGCTTCGACGCTCTGCAGGAGCGGTGCGCGAGGCTCCGGCTCGAGGCGGACGTCGGCCGCACCGTGGAAAGGGTGGTGTCTACATACCCTGGGGGGCTGGCAGGGCCTGCGACCCCTCCGCATCTCCTCCTCCTCCTCCTCCTCCTCCTCCTCCTCCTCCTCCTCCTCCTCCTCTTTCCTCCTCCTACCCCTCTTCCTCCTCCTCCTGCTCCCCCTCCTTCTTCCTCCTTCCGCCTCCTCCTCCTCCTCCTCCTCCTCGTCCTCTATCCTCTTCCCTTACATTGTAGGGCCGCACAAGCTGTCCTTGAAGTGGCCAGGTCTTTTGGGCTGCCCGCCCAGCCGCGCGGAGCCACGCGTAGCGCTGCTTGGCTGTCGAGCGCTCTCGGCTCCTCGCTGGCGCCTCGGGATTGCCATCCGGCTGCGCTCGCCCCTCCTCCGGATGTTGCTAGAAGTACCCCTGGCCCAAGGTGCCCCCAGGGTTCTCGGGGCGGCCCAGACGGCCTCCAGGGCACCCCTCGCAGGGCCCAGCGGGCCCCAGGGGCCCCAAAGTGGAGCGAAAAGCTGGGGGCACCTTGGGCCAGGGCTACTTCTAGCAATACCCGACTCCTCCGTCACCCCTCACTCCTCACTCCTCCTCCTCCTCCTCCTCCTCCTCCTCCTCCTCCTCCTCCTCCTCCTCCTCCTCCTCCTCCCCCTGCCGTGTAGATGTCAATCTCTCCTGGGTGAGATCTCGGGGAGAGGAGTCCACCAGAGCTTCGTCGCCGTGTGCCGACGGGCCAGGCTCTGGAGCCACGGGTTTTGGGCGGAGAATCTTGGACCACCTGCCTCTGGGCCCGTCCCGAACAAGACCACCTCCTCCTCTTGCTCCTCCTCCCTCCCTCCCTCCCTCCCTCCCTCCCTCCCTCCCTCCCCTCCCTCCTCCCTCCCTCCCCCACAATTGCACAATATGCATACTACTCTCCTCTCTCCCATGATGATGTCCGGAAAATGTTCGGCCCCCTTCCCGCGTATTTTTCACACAGGATTCCCGGGAATTGGGTTTCTCGATTTGTTGTTTCAAAATGTTGTTCCCGTTGAAGCCCTCATTTTCGGGCTTACGCTCGTTCCGAATCGTGCTCCCGCTGCAGCACTGGTCTCATTATCGCGCTTCGCTCGTTCCGAATCGTGCTCCCGCTGCAGCGCTGGCCTCATTTCCGCGCTTCCGCTCGTTCCGAATCGTGCTCCCGCTGCAGCGCTGGCGTGATTATTTCCATTGCCATGCCGCGGCATGCAATGCAATGCTAGGTGGTGTTCTGCTGTGCGATGCCATGCCTTCAGCTACAATGCTAGGACATGCAGTGCTTGACTACGCATTGCCACGCCATGCCATGCCATGCTACGCTTTGATCTTCAACGCCATGCTATGCCATGTTCCGTTCTGTGCCGCTATGCGATGCCATTCTTTGCGTTGCAGTGCTTTGTGATGCCATTCTTCACTACGCAACGCCACGCCATACTACGACATACTACGCTCTGCCGTGCTCTTCCACGCCCTGCTATGCCGTGCTCTACGATGCGTCGCGCACCCTCTCGGGATCATTGCCCTGCTCGACATCCGACTGTGCGAATCGAGAGGAGCTCTACGCCATGGTAAGGGACGGGAAGGAGGGGTAGGACGTCAGATGTGACGCGAGCGCACCTGGCTTGCCCTCCCCCCCTCCCTCCTCCCCCCGCCGCCCCCCCCCCGCAGCGACCCTGCCGCCCCCCCCCGGGGCGCGTACGGAGCGCCCCACCTGCGGCCCTCGAGCATCTGCCGGCGGGCGGCCTGCGAGGAGAGCGGCGCGGTCTGGTGGTCGCTGCACGCGCTGCTCGGGTACGCCGTCGGGGAGGCGTGTCTCGTGCCCCGCGGCGAGGCGCGCCCGGAAAAGAGCGCAGCGCGCGTCGCCGCGGCCCTGCGCTGTTCTGGGCTGCGGCCGTGCGTTGCTCTGGGCATCCCAGGTGGGGTTCGAGCAGGTGGGGTCGAAGAGTCGCTCCGCATCGCCACTGCCTCGGCGATGCATCGGCGATGCGGCGCGATGCTCTGACCTCGTCTACTCGGGCCCCACATGGGAGGCCTCAGTTGCCTCCCCAGATCCCCTCGCGTCGTGAAGCAACCGCTTTTGTGGTGGCCTCGTGGGGCCCTCGCCGGGCCCCAGGACCGTCAGACAGCGACTCGGGAGGAAGAACCGGTCCTGGGGAAGGGGTGGACAGCTTTTGGGAGCTGACGGGGTGCAAACATCGTGACGTCGGCTGTCTGGGTCTGTCTGTCGGCCCGTGCCCTGCTCGGGTCTTCCTGCTGCGGCCTGGCACGGATTCGGGCGGGCTGGCAATTTTCAGGAGGGAGAAAACACACAGACACAATTAATCGTCGATCCCCTAAGAAAAGACGGGAAACTATGGGAATTGGGCGGGAAGACAAGAACCCAGAAAAGATGGGGAAATATGGGGAACCATTTTATTTGTGTGCATGTGTGTGTATATTTATGTGTGTGTGTGTGTCCTTGGGCCCCTTCAAATTTGCCTGGCGGTTTTGCAGGGGGCAGGCTCGGCGGCCCGCGGCAGGCTCTGCCTCCGTACCCGCGCAGCATCGAGCGGCACGCAGGGTGGTCTTGCCGATGTCTCCCGGCAGCGTCGGCAGAACCACCCTGGGGACCGATTGCGGGTGCGTCGTTGCGATGCTCGCGGGCCACATGCGACCCCTACCATTACCCCCCACGATTTCTGAGGGGGAGGGTGGGGCTCACTTCGTTCGGGAGCTCCCGAGCGAAGTGAACCCCACCCTCCCCCTCAGGAATCGTGGGGGGTAGGGGTAGGGTTCGCATGTGGCCCCCTAGATGCCGTAGCGTGGCGCAGCCGTCGCGCGTCTCGTGGGCTCCTCTGGGGCTTCCTGTGGCCCTCTCGAGGGCCTCTGGAGGGCCTTTGGATCGGCGGCGAGGCCGGGGGGAAACGAGAGGGCAGGCCTCCTCGGAAGGCGGCGCGGCTTCTCGGACGCCCTCCGGCCTTCTGTCTGCGGAGAAGCCTTGGAGCACTTCTCAGAAGGCTGGAAGCCTTCGGAGCCTTCCGAGAAGGCCCGTCCCCTCTGCATCCCCCCCGGGCTCGCCGCCGACTGGAGGGCCCGCTGGGGGCATGCTGGGGTCTCGTGGCCATCTTGAGCATGCTGTTTCGACCCGATGCCTGCCCAAGCGGCTGGTCGATGTAGCCACACTGGGGCCGCCGGGGGGCGGGTCCTGCGGCCTTCCGAGCGTTTTCTGTTGGACAGCCGTGGAGGAAG